CCCCCCCCCCCCCCCCCCCCCCCCCCCCCGGGCCACTCCAGCCCTGCGGGCCACTCGGCCTGAGCTGGTGGGTCCCTACCTCCCGCTCCTCCCCTTCCCCAACAGTCTGCGGGAAGAGAGCGGAGCGCCCTTCGCCGCCCCAGGCTGGGAGGGCCAGAGCAGCTTCTTGGCAGCCCAGGATGCAGAGCCAGGCCGGATGGAGCGCTGCCCTGGTCCTGGCGCTCCTTCAGCCTGGCCGGGCCTTCTGGCTCCTCAACGTGCTCTTCCCGCCAAGCACCACCCCAGAAGCCGCCGGCTCCAACAGGACGCCCCCGGTGCTGCTGGGTGAGTTGGCCGAGGAAGGAGGGAGAGAGGGAGGGAGGGGAGCCCCGGAGGCGCTGGGGAGGGTCTGGGGGCCAAGTCCGAGGAAGAAGGGAGGGGGGGTGCCGGTGCCATCGGATTCTTCCCAAGAACCGAGGAAGGGGAGTTGCTGCGGCTAAGTCTTCCCTGCGGGAGACAGAACGGCTGATGCCAGGACGGGCTCTCGACGGCCGCTTCAGAGCCCAAGGCGGCTCCGCAAGAGTTGCTGGTGCGAGATCCGCCCGGCGGCAGAAGGGCTCGGCCTTTGGTCCTGCCGCGGGCCCGAGTTTGGTCGTCGGCCTCTCCCAGGAGGCCGGCAGGAGGTTGGAGCGAGGCTGGCAGGCGACCGATGGGACGTCCTGCTCCCGTGGCAGCGCTTGCTTCACCTTCCCAGCTTCCGAACAAACGTCCTCGGCACCGAAAGAGCCTCGAGGGGAGGAGCGGAGAGGCTCCCCTGAGCGCCGAGCCTTGGAGAGGCCGGTGGGCCCCTTCAGCCTCAGGCACCCGGGGGGCTTCCCAACCGCCAGCCGCCTCTCCCCCCCTCCCCCCAGGGCTGCGGGCGGCGGGGCTTTCGCCTTTGCTGCCGGCATCGGAAGGGCAGAGATGACTGGGAAGGGGGAGCCTGTGGCAAAGCTTTGCACGGGCAGCATCCAGACGGTGGCGACTCTGTGCGGTGGCCCATTAAAATGCAGAATGGAGTCAGATCTGGAAGCAACTTGACCAAGCGCACAGCTACCACCTTTAAGCGGGTAACCTGCAGTTTGCTTCTCCTTAGTTCTTTCAAATGATTTCGACCTAAACCAGTTAGGAATTGCTAAGAATCTGCCTTGAGTTCTTCTCCAAGTTGCTGAGGACCTTTAGCAGAATGTTCTTTTCAGGAGGAGGAAGAAGAGGAGGAGGAAGAGAAGCAGGAGCTGAGGCTGCTCTTGCTCCAAGACCCAGCTGCAGGGGGCCAGCCAGAGAAGATCCTGGGGGCTCCCAGCAGTGGGAAGAAGGGCCTTCTTGGCTCTGCTGTTGATGCAACAACAAAAAGGGGAAATCCCCCACCCCACAATGTCCCCCTTTCTGTGGCAGTGAAATGGAGCAAGCACTCTGCCCCACAGTGACCCTGCAGCCGGCCTGCCTCCCCTTTGATCTCTGAGATTAAATTTTTGCACAGTGACTCCTGAGTGGTGTTTGTTGGACTTTGCCTTGTTTGCATGAGACTGTTTGCCTGGAGGGAACAGCCAGACCCAAATTCCCACCAGGATTGCAGGGACAGCAGGGCTATGGAAAAAAACAGGAGGGGTTGGGGGGAGGGGTCTCCTAAATATCCCCAGAAGGAGGGCCACTTCCCGAGCTCAGAAAGCACTCAGCCCAAAGGGGACGGTTCCACCACAAAACCGCGTTCGACTAAAGCGCGCTCAACGAAACCGCGTAGCTGACGTCATCACAG